CAGATAAACAGAAGGAACGACCAGGCCATTCATCGTTCACACGATCGTTTACACGGCCAGCTCGTCCCTGCCATGCCAGAGACAGCGGTAGCGACAGCAGTAGCGAAAGCAGTAGCGACACCCATAATCTCCAGTGTTAAGTATTTTAAAAAGTAATTGCTGACATCGTTGTACAATTCATAGCAGAAGGAACGACCAGGTGATTCATCATTCACACTATCGTTCACATCCCACCTCGTCCCTGCGTATGAGTGCTACAGGTAAAAGGGTGATGATCAAATATTAAACAATAATTTAATTCATGTAATGTAGACCAATTTCTGTCCAACATACTGAGTGTGTCAGGTCTTTGTTTGCCACTGCAAATGGGGAATTAGCTCAAATGGTAGAGTGCTCGCTTAGCATGTGAGAGGCAGCGGGATTGACGGCCGCATTCTCCATGGAAAACTCAATTAATATGGAGTAATGACATTAGAGTTTTTCCTTTGGGTTAAACGTAATTATACATTCAGTAGATAAACAGAGAAAAAAAGTATTATCTCTCGTGTATGTTTGTCTTTTAACTTTAGTGATAGGAATTGATGACGTACAATTCATAGTAGAAGGAACAACCAGGGAATTCATTGTTCACACCGACATGCCATATTGCCTGTTGAGATAGAATATACTTCTAGATTAGCAATTTTCATGCTGTACACACCTGGAAGATTGTGCTTTCATTCAACTGAATCCACAAAGAGAGCATTCCTTTCATTCATTGGCTGTCATTAATTAACGCAACAAGCAAGCGATGAGAACAGGATTCGAACACATGCATGCAGAGCACAATGGAATAGCAGTGCATCGCCTTAACCACTCGGCCACCTCATCTGTGTGCAATCATGCCATAGGTAAATGAGTGTCAACCAAATATTAAACGATAATTCTATTCAGGTAAAGGAGACTAATTTCTATTTGACATACTGAGTGTGTCAGGTTGTGTTTTCCCAAGGCAAACGGGGAATTATGTCAAATGGTACAGCGCTCGCTTATCATGTGAGAGACAGCAGCAGCGACACCTGCATTGTCCATTGATAAATCTTCTAAACTGAATTAATGACATTACTTTTAGTATGAATGAGTGTG